TGGGTGTGGGTGGGGATGGGGGGGGGTGGGGGTGTGGGGTGTGGGTGTGGGTGGGTGTGGGGTGTGGGTGTAGATAAAGAGACAGCAGATACCCACAGCCACAGCTACACCCACACCCACCAACATCCACACCTACACCCCACACCACTCACACCCATACCCACACCCACACCCACCAACATCCACACCTACACCCCACACCACTCACACCCATACCCACACCCACACCCACACGCACACTCACACCCACACCCACACACCCACACCCACACCCACACCCACACCCCACACCCTTGTGCAGGTAATTGACAGCCGTCTGCTACGCAACTCCAAGTTCATCGGCCAAATCGCAAGTACTCAATGAAGGTTCGTCTTCCAAAGCGGCACGCAGATCCTCTTCGTCCAGAAGAGATGGTTGGCCAGAACGAGGCTTGTCCTCGAAGTCAAAATCGCCATCATCGAATCGGTGGAACCATTTTATCGCGGCAGTTTTCCCGATCGTTCCTTCGCCTTTCACTTCGCAGATTTCGGCAGCTGCAGCTCTTGCAGACAGGCCTTTCTTCCAATAGTGGCGGAGCAAAACACGAATTTCAAAATTATTCATCTAAATTAAAATGATGAAATCAAATTACAAAATTTACAAAAGAATAGCTAACTGTTATCGACGACGACTGTCGTCGCTATCGTTTTTTTCTCCTCTGTATCACAGCACTTTAGAAATATTCTTTTCGCCTCGTGTTCACATAGTCTTCTGTGGAATTTCGCTTCACATGTTGTTTTCGAGAAAGAATACCATCTGCGATACCATTCTTTCTCTCTGTTCCTCTTTCAGACATATGTATATATTTCATTCTAGAGGACTGAGCCTTTTGTATTTTTTGCTTTCTCTTTCTTATCGACTCATGATGCATGAGGCGTTATTTCAAAAATGTGATCATGCATCACATTTTTTGCCTCTTTTTTTCTCCCCTACATATACACTATTCTCCTTGGATTTTTTTAGCCCTTTTTCCTTTTTTTTATCATTCTCCTGTTTTCCACATACAAACCATCTATCAGCCTTACAGACAAGCGAACACTAGCACACGAGAGATACACAAGTTTTAAAAATGAAACACAAAAGACTTAAAAAGTAAACTTAAAAAAATTAAAATGTTTGCAAGTGACCGCAAACTTTTTAGTCAACCTAATAGTAGACTTGAAGTAATACGAAATTTCGATCGATTATGTCATTTGCTTGAGGCTTTCTTAAACGTTCTTGCAAAAGTCTTAGAGGTTACAATGAAAATCTATTTTATCATCATGTTCAACATATCGAATGTGTTTTAAACCACGTTTCTAGCATACTAAATATTTCTGATTTGCCGAAATGGTAAGTCCATTTCTATGATTTAGTATATGATGAAATGACTTGATCGAAAACAATGAAGAACTCTACAACATCCCTCTATTAAAACTTGTAGCAGGGTTACGGACGAATATGTAGTTTATTTTATCCGTTGAACAAGATGTTAAATAAGCTTTCGATTAAGACGTGTCAAATTTACAAAAAAATTCGAGTGAGCTCTCCAAAAAACCAAGTAGATGATTTTTATGTTAAAAATCCACTATCTCTTAAAGCATTGAAAATAATCTGTATAGTCTAATTGTCAGCTTTACTTTGAGTCTCCAATTAGAGTATTCTGACACTGTAAGTTTTCATGTGATCGAGGGTATGGATGTGTTCCTTAATAAAGTCCACACCTATACCCACCCAAAAAAGATCCGAAATAAGGACCTTTTCACAAAATTGTATTTGATTGAATTGATTTCGACAAAACTCTATATCATTAAACAATTTCTATTAATAGTCGGTGGAAAATGATTTTGTTATTTTAATTCCAAGGGTGTGTCAGTATCGATGTAGACGAAGAACGGAACGACACTCCCAAGCTCAGCCATCCACAATCACATCCACTCGCACAATTATTTCGAAACAATAAATAATGATCTATACGCTGAAACAAAGATCTGGTTTCCTGCTTATATTTCGATTTTGTTTTTGAACATCATTTATGAGAAAATGCTAACTGCCTGTGGTCCTCTGCATAATGTGGACGTGAACCGCATAATGCAACACATGTATATATATTCAATTTAATGAGATTTATTCAATCTGCTGTTATATATAACAAAAAAAAATATACCAAGAAGCGAAAGGAATAAGATATAATGAAAATATGTCCGTTATTAATTGATTAAATGAAGTGGAAGAAGCAAAAGAAACAAAAAATACATAGCCAACTATAATTAGACCTATGATTATTAGAATAAATAGGAGATGGTGAAAGAAGCTTTGTCCGATGATTTTGAAAGAAGACGAACAGATATCTGCCTTTGAAATATTATCGTCAACATTCATAGGCATTGGATGTATTTGGGTGCTGTGGCATGGTTCTATATTGTGTAATGTTTGTTGAACGTCGTTCGTAACAAAAGTAATTGCTACATATTTTTCAGAGAATTGACCATCATAGCCAATACTGAAAAATGTAGGAAAAAACAAACATAAAAATATGTATGCTAACGATTTGTAGCCTTACCGATCAATATTATGTTCAAGTTTACCGGGTAAATCATAATTAATGAGAAGACTTATTTGTGGTACCTTAGTGATACGTGTGAGTGAATTAGCTGTATTTAAAATACGACTACAATCTGTTCGAAATTCTTTCATATCAGCATGACACTCTATAAGATTCATATTACCATACTAGAATGAAGGAAAAAAAGATGATAGAACAAAACGTCAACAGTAAACTTACCACAGCGAATACAGTAAAATTGCGTGAGCGCAACTCTTTTTTTAACCATTTAGCTTTTTGAATTGATTGGCAGAAAATAGTAGCTCGTTTAATTCGCAAAGTTTTGTAAAATTCACAAAGCATATATATTTTCTGTTCCTAGAAGACATTCAAATAAAAATCTGATTACTGTTTCATAAGATTTTGTTCATTCGTTTTACCTCCTGTTCGACAGAAACGTAAAATTGACGAATATCTTCGAGAGTTAATTTATTTTCAACGAGAATATTAATCGAATTCTTCTTAAATTTAGTTGTCACTTCGATCACGTCGCTTGGCGTAGTAGCTGATAGATGAATAACCTGTGTGTTTTTTGGGATAATTTTAGACACATTACGGATTTGGTTTTGGAAACCATGTAATAACATCTTATCAGTTTCATTTAATATGAGCAATTTGATATTTTGGGGATCTACAATAGAAAGAAAAATAGCCCGTTGGGAACAATATTGTCCAAAACCTACGTAAAACTGATCTTTTAAGCATATCGTAAACACGTCCTGGTGTACCGACAACAATTCGAACACCTACTTTAAGACGTTTCATATTCTTACGAGCATGTTTGCTATTGATAAAAACATAGCATGTGATATCTATATGATGACCCAGAGTTAAAACTATTTTTTCAATCTATAAAGATAAGAACACAACGAAAAGCAATCATTCATAATTCAAAAGACTTCTGCCTTATAGAAATTTACTTCTTGAATCGATTCTTGAGTGGGTGTTAAAATTAAAACTTGACAATTCTCGACTCCAACATTGAGTTGTGATATCAAAGTAGTAATCGGTTTCATTTTTGCTGTACTGGACTGCGTTTTGACGTTAAAATCATGACCTATCATAATGAACAATAATAACAGAAATAGAAGAGCTTACTAGACATACTCACCGGATATACATGGGTTGATTGCACGTTGTTGCACAGCAGCCAGTTGTTCAATATCATAATCATAAACACTACGTGTAAATGGTTCACATAAATTCATTTGATCAAGTTGTTCGTCTACTTCAATGTGTGGACCATCGACTATTTCATCTAAGAAGGCAGTCGATTGACATCAATATTCCTTTCGAAATGAAATCTATTACTTGTCTTCACTTACTAGATTTCATGGATAACATAGATGTGTTGAAACTTTGAACGGTGCCATTTCTAGAAATAGCAATAATGAACAAAATGAACAACAAGCATAGGTTAAAAGAAGAAAAGCAAAATAGACTATATTCTCTCTCATATATTAAGTTTGATTCTTGACATAATCTACGTCAAGTAGATAATAAAACGAAGTGAATATATATTATTTTTATAAGAGAATAACAATTGTATGTTCTCTCTGGGTCGATTACAATACATATTTCGGGAGTCAGGCAAGTCGTTTGGGCAAAATATCGAAATATTCAAGGTGTCTTTCTCTGCTAAACGACTGAGAGTCTAGTTTACATCAACAGAGAGACTGTACAAGTGAAATCTTTTCTTTGAAAATCGTCATTTTCAACAGGAGGTTCTATGATGGAGCGATGTGTGTGACTGCGATTGAGATTATATTTTTGTTCTGCATTAAACTCACGTCAACAGTGCTGCAATGTTCGATGAGGAAAATCGTCGTTGTTAGTAAAAAGATATCAAACACAATGCACTGTAATTTTTACCTAAATCTACTGTAGTTAATATAATTACTTCTCAAAAGTTTTGAGTAAGTATTATTTACACTTGTACGTACCGTACTGGTAGCGAATTAATGTCTAAATCATTTGACATATGAGAAATAATTTGCCTTGTGATAGCATCAGCCAACAATGCCTTCCAAATAGGATCGACTTCTGCAATTTTTGTCAGATTACCAACAATGTATAAAATGCACTTTGAACGAGTCAATGTAACATTCAATCGTCTCATATCTCTCAAAAAACCGATTTGATTTCCACTTCGAACGCATGAAACAATGACAAAGTCCTTTTCTCTACCTTGTGCACCGTCAGCAGTCAGAACTTCCACACCAGTAGGAAGAATACTTTGAAGAAAATACTGTTGAGCACGATATGGGGTAATCACAGCGATTCGTCTTTTCAATTCCTTGAGAAAATCATTCGAGTGACTGTCTCCTGGTTTGTGTTTCCTCATATAATCAATTAACCTATGGCAAAGCGCTTTAACAAACCGCGCTTCGTTTTCGTTTACTATTGAGCCGCTATTCTCTCTTCTTTCTCCATCTACGTTTCTATCGTAATAATAGAGCGGTTGAAGATCAAATATGTGCATGCGTTCGCCGACGGATGCATCAGTTTCTAAGTTTCCTTCGTAAAACTTTTGATTCGGAAAAGAACAAATTTCTGAATGCATTCTATACTGAGTAGTTAGTTTCGTGATTCCATCGCTTTCCGAC